TACAAAAGAAAATTACTACTTCATCCAAGCGAAAATATAACGCTACTGGGAGCAGTATGCCTTCCACCAAAAGTCAGCAGCTCAACTATTTAAAGCTGGTTCCCATGTCAATGGACCAATAGTTCAAAAATTAAATATGATAAGGGATTAAGTTTATGTATTGTAAAAGTTATATTTTAACCCTTTCCGCACTACTTTTAAGGAAATTGACTATTTCCTCGTCTTTAAGCAGAGTGGAAAACTATATATTTAGTCAAGTCAGTGTCAAGATTTTTTAGCCTCTACAATTAGCAACTTTTATAAACATATTTAGTGTATTTCATAGTTTTCTATTTTTTTAACTTTTTATCTATCTATGATGACTTTCATTTTATTTAACAGGGCCTCACAGAATACCACTTTCCAGTGAGATGAACCCAATATCTAAAGACTGTTAAATTAATTATTTAAAAAGGTCAAAATTCAAATTCTCTCCAAGCAAGTACCAAAAATCCTAGTGCGTCTTATCCATAATGACCATCACTGACTGAGGAAACAGTGCAGTCTGTACATTTTCCCATTGGAAACCCTGCTCACTTGGCGCGTCTCATTCTTGCATCCGTTTCTTGCAGCAAAATTAGGCTGGGTACCAACATTTAAAGTAAATGCCTTCAATTCTTGCTCAGACTATGATTCGCCTTTATGCTTTGCATTTGTTTGATGTGTTCTCTCTCTCTTTCCACAAAAGACTGTACCAGTAGTATACTAAGTCCCAGTATGACAACACATTGCTGCAGATTTTCATGTATGAACCAGGAAAATTGAGTAACATATGTACCACACTACGGATGGTGCAAGTGAAGGGAATTCTGCCAGAGTCATGCTATGCTTATGTGCATTTTGTTACATGTTGTTGTTTTAGACAAAGAAGCGCTCTTTCGTATGACAATTTATGATAAATCTTGCACCCATGATGTCACTTGCTCGAGTATCAACCAAGTTGACCAATTAACAGGATTTAGTCTCCACCTGGGATATTTAGAAACTTGACAGAGACAAAAGTGTGTTTGAGGAACTTGAAATGTCTTACTTTTCAGGGTTCTGACTTTAGGATCCTCCTTGATCTTTAATTGTGATCATCCATTCTCTGTTGAGGAATAAATTGTGATCCATTCTACCAAAATTCTTTCGTCATTAGGGTCTTTGATACTCATTCCACTGTAACATTGATCCGGGCATGTAATGTTTGTATTTATTCAATTCATTTACCACAAATGGATGGAACTCTCCTCTTCTACCACGAGTCTATTAGAGCACATTTGTACCATCTGACTAGAAATTTACATCTGTTAAATGAACATTCCACATAAAAATTTTCTTATCTTATTTCTCTCAGACTCTCTGAGTGTTTGAAGTTGAACATCCTTGTTTATCCTCTTGCTGTTTAGTGCTTTTGTACTCTTTGCATCCTGCATCAGAGTCACTTTACACCCAGTGTTGAGAATTTCTTTTTGAGCTATTGACTTGCTTGATTTCTTTTCTAGCATTTCCCTTCTTGGGCTTTGGTTTTGGTTTGGTTTGGCTGAGTGCTAAAAAAGCATAAGAGTTGCTTGAGGTTATAGAAGAGAGTGACTTAAGGTTCCGGGGTTCTTAGCAAACCTCCTGCATGTATCCACAACTCAATAGTGTACGCTGTGGTGTTTACCATTTGTTTCATACCATAATATTGATACATCATAGCAAAAACGTTTTTGTAGTCATTCCACAACCTATCTCATCATAACAACCTAAGGTAAATGTAATAACATTCCTTGAAACTTATGGCAAATACAAGATCTAGCTCAGCTTATCTCAACAAATGACAGCAAAATTTCACACTGGACATATTTATATATCGTAGGATTTATAAAACGATTTATTTAATAATAGAGACGCCACTGACAAAACAACAAAAACAAAATCAGAAACTTAATGGGTAACTGCTATATTTATTTAAACACAAGTGAAGTTACTATTAGGACATTTATTATTTTTGAAATTAAGAGTTTCAAATGTTTTTTTGTGATTTGTACAGACAGTTATGTTGCTTGTATATGATAGGTCACCTGGTGCCTCCCCCAAACGGTCTTAGAAGAGGAATCTTTGCTGAATTAACTATCCTATCTTCCCTTGATCGACCCAGAACAGATTCTTAACAGTACTGTCAAGGAGAGTTCTGTCAAAGAGAGAACCATGTACCGGCATACACATTTAAATCAAAATGAAATTTAACTAAATGCTCCATGGCAGTGATAGGCCAAGAGGGAACATTTTATATTGTGAAAAAAATATATAATCATGGCTTATTGCTGCCATAGACCATCATGGACCTCGGCACTTCACAAGTGACGTTAAGTGACAGAAAACGCGTGTACATCTGCCATCTTCGTGTGGTTGCCACTATGTCGCAATTGAATCGTTTTAAGAAGCAGATCAATAAAAAGAGAATGAAGAAGAAATTGTCATAAGAGGAGAAAGGGATTACGCACTATGACTCAATAATTGTTCAACGACTAAGAGCCGAAGTAGCCAGAAAAACACAAAAGTATTCTCGCATCGCTGCACAAGAATTCCCGCCTTTCCAAGCCTACGAGATGTTCATTGACAGCATAAAGAGTGCCTGTAGGAAGCGTTACAAAATACTTCCATCAATGTGTTGCAATGTCCTTGCTGGAGAAAACGGTCCTTCTTGCTTCTCTACGAAGCAAATTCCGGACTTCAAGATCACATGCACTTCGTCAGAAGAACTGAAGCATCACAAGGGCAACTCAACACATCACCAAGGGAAAATAATCCTAAGAAGAGATGTGGAGTACTGCCTATTTCCCAACCTGGCCCAAGTAAGATGCCAAAAGTGGCTACAAGCTATTTCATCCCAAAAAGTTTATCAGTGGTGGAAATGCCTAAGCTTGGAAAGACCATCAAGAAAACAAGCACTTCAAGTCAGTTGAAAACTTCAACATGTAGGCAATGGTTCCGTCATGTTCCTGATCTGCTGAAGCAATCCATAATCAACCCCCTGCCCAAGGTTTCCCCGCCTCAAGAAATTCAATCTGACTTGAGACCTATCTCTCTGACATGCACCCTTGCAAAGAAGTGTTAATTACCTTCATGCAAAATGATAATTTTACTACAAGACCAATTGTCCTTGGTAACAGCACTGTTCAATGTGTAACAGCTTATAAATTACTCGGCATTATAGTCATTAATGATTTAAAGTACAACGAGCATATTGATTACAGATCGAAAAAGGCTTCCAAACGCCTGTATTCCCTGAGGATTCTTAAAAAAGTGCGTGTTAATAAAGAGAGAATTGTCAAAGTTTACTTGACAACAATAAGACCTATACAAGAATATGGCGTACAAACCTGGCTAGATATTCCTGAATTACTTGAAATAAGCTGGGGTCAATTCAAAAAAGGGCACTTCATATGATCTATCCATGCCATAGTAACACAGATGCCCTTAATACTGCCAACCTTAGCAGCTTGAAAGAAAGACGAACTCAGCTCTGCTGTAAATATATTTAGAAGGTGACTCTAAAAGACCACCCCATTAACTTCCTCAAGTCGAGAACAACATCTAGTGGTCATAGTTACAACTTGCGGGCCAACGACAACAATAGAAATATTGTTTACGCTGATAGTTGTTGTTGCCGGACCCAGTGTTCAGGTTCCTTTATCTCATTCGCTAGTAAATGTGTAAATAATTTTTATTGTCTCCATAGTCGTTATAGTGTTAATTATTTGTTGATTGTTAATTTAAACCCCTTTAATTCAGTTAATTCTGCATTGTGGCAAATAAACGGTATATATATCTAAACAGACCACGAACTGTCGAATTCAACATCGACAAGGAACCCTTAAGGGGAGTTTAAAAATCTTTTGGAGCCTTTCATAGAGTTCTCTCCACCACCGTAAAATCTATAACATCAATAAAACACTATTTACCTGTATTATCACCTCACAGTTTTTTGAAACCATTTGACAGTTGCACACAAAATTTTCATTTAATATTTGTGATAACAAGCAAATGATGTGTGGCTTGTGATTTCGCTTCGGAAGGAAGTTGCAGTTATTGCAATTATGAAGGTTGGAGCTGATGGTAGTTGTGTTTGTGGTTTTATTAAAAAGTGTTATGTCACATGCACATTATTATAATTTCAATCATAATTTAAATTTGTCTTGAACAAGTAATCCAAATAAAAGCGTCCAATAAGATTTGGATTGCTGTTAGATATCCAAACTTTCACCCAAAGCCCCTTTTGGCTGCACATGTCAATACACCCCTAGACAAAAATTGGCAAAGAACTATTTTGATAGCCCATCAACTTCTCGTGCCCATCAAGTGAGTGGACAAAGTTGGGATCAGGTAATATAAAATGCCCTTCAGATTTTTTCTTTTTGAACTTGGGAGCTCTCTGCTCTATGGCATTAGGATCTACCTGGTACATGAAAGCATTAACCAAATCTCGTGGTACATTCATGTTGTAGACTTACCTTATCTTTTTATGCAACGCCCTACGCCCTATCAGTTTTCCTTGCCCTTCCATTTCTTGTTGCACTGCGCTCTCAACTTAGCCGATCGTTGCTGTGATCTGTGTTGTAAATCTCGATGTACCCTAGTCTTCTGTGTAGGGTTCAAAGGCTCCAAGCATATTGTTCAAAATCTCTAGACACGAAGTCTTGAATCTCTTAACATCACAGCTGCTCATTCACATAACGTTTGAAGGTTTCTTTCAAGGTCTGATCTTCCTTCCAATATGAGATGTCATGTCGGAAAGTGCCAAGGTGCATAATGGTCTATGGCAGTGTAGTATACTAGGACAGCGGTTGTTTATGTAAAAGTATACATCCGGGAAAGTGTGAGCGCGGGAAGATTATTAAAGAAACGTGTACTGTGTGTACTGTTGTTGTTCGCCTTCGTGGCTGCCTTTTGTGGCATACTTCTTCATTTTTAGACACTACAAATTGGCGACGAGGATGGCGAATTCAGTAGAAAGGGCGCTTCCACCTCTAGATTTAACAGGGTCTTCCTCTCAGGTCGCGGAACGATGGCGACAGTGGAAACGATCGTATCAGTATTACATCGATGGCAAGGGAATTACGAATCCTTCTCGGAAAACAGCTCAGTTACTTCATTTAGCAGGTATGGAAGTACAAGATATTTACGAAGATATTCCAGATCCTGGACCACTGAATGCTAACGAGGATAATGAGTATGTGGTGTGTCTGCGAAAGTTGGATGCTCATTTCCGAGCCGAGGACAATGTACCGTACGAGCGTCATGTCTTTCGTCAACTTACGCCGACAAAGGGAGAGACCGCCGATAAGTTCATGGTTCGTTTACGTAAACAAGCTCGTCATTGTAATTTTGGTCCAACTTTGGAAGAAAATTTACGGGATCAATTGATTGAAAAGTTGCCTAATGTTGAGCTAAAGAAGAAGCTATTGGAAGTCGTTAATATTACTCTGCAAGCAGCAATGGATAAAGTTCGAAAGTGGGAAGCCTCACACGAGCAGGCAGGTCAAATGGTCATGCCAAGCCAAGAACCTGGAGCAGGTACTCATGCAGTTGAAGAACGTCCTGGGCGTGGAGACAAAGGGAAAAGCGTTTGTTTCAACTGTGGTAAAGAAGGTCATTTTGCCCAAAGTACAAATTGTCCCGCCCGAGGTCGCAAGTGCAGCAAGTGTGGTAAATATGGTCATTATGCCAGCTGTTGCAAAGGGGGAAGGAACTCGAAGCCTGGAAAACAAGGTAACAACCAACAACGGGGAGGCAGACAGCAGCGTCATGGTAAGGGGAGACAGGCAAATCATGTTGAGGGTCATTGTAACGAGTCAGGTGAGGATGACAGTTTTGCTTTTACTATAGAAGAACAGACATGTGCTATGTCAAATTCCTCTGAACCCGTTACCTCAGTGAAGATTGGTGGAATCAGCAGAGATGTGTTGATTGATTCAGGTTCTGCAAGTAACCTCATTAGTAAAGATACACTGCAGGAACTTAAGTATCAGGGGCTCAAGATTGAATTAAAACCTTGTCTGAAGAGATTGTATGCTTATGGGGGTCGAGAGCTTAAAATTGAGGGCCAGTTTCAGACAGAAGTTTCCGTACCCAAAGCAAAGGTTGTGGCAGATTTCATTGTTGTTGAATCCGGGCGTTGTTTGCTGGGATATTCGTCCGCCACAGATCTTGGAATCCTTCGTGTGGATCTCTCGGGAATTCTTGGGACAGGAGACTGTAACACTGTTGATGGTACCTTCGTGGGAGGACTCAAAGCAAAATACCCCAGTGTATTCCAGGGAATTGGAAAGCTTAAAGATTATCAGTTGAAGCTACACATTGACCCCAGTGTAACTCCAGTCGTTAAAAAAATGCGACGAGTACCTTTTTCTGTAAAGGACAAAGTAACTGCCAAGGTTAACGAACTCCTTGAAAAGGACATAATTGAGAAAGTCGAGGGGCCTACGGTGTGGGTAAGCCCAGTCGTTGTTGCTCCTAAACCGTCCGGGGACATAAGGTTGTGTGTCGACATGCGGAGAGCCAACGAGGCCATTATTCGGGAAAGATTGCCCATACCAACCATAGATGAAGTCCTTGAAAGTCTTAATGGGAGTGGTGTTTTCTCGAAGTTAGATTTAAGGTGGGGTTTTCACCAAATTGAGCTGGATCCTGATTCAAGGGATATCACTGCTTTTGCCACCCATGATGGTATATTCCGCTACAAACGTTTGAGTTTCGGTGTAAATGCCGCACCAGAGAAGTACCAGCATATCATCACCCAGTCAATGGCAGGTCTACAAGGGGTGTCAAACATAGCAGATGATCTTATCGTTCATGGTCGAGACACTGAAGAACATGATAAGAACTTACACAGTGTGTTGCAACGTCTTAGTGAGAAGCAGCTGACTTTGAATGCTGAAAAATGCACTTTCCGAATGACTAAAGTGGTATTCATGGGTCTTTTGCTGAGTAAGCATGGCATCGGCCCAACGGAGGAAAAAGTCAGAGCAGTTGCAGAGGCAAGTCAGCCTCAGACACCCTCAGAAGTCCGTAGCTTCTTGGGGCTCGTTGGATTCAGTGCCAGGTTTATACCCGATTTTGCTACCACTGCTGATCCCCTCAGAAAACTTGCAAGAAAAGGGGAACCGTTCGTTTGGGGCAAGGAGCAGGAGCAGTCGTTTCAGAGATTGAAGAGTCAAGTTGCAAGTGCACCAGTCCTAGCTTACTTCGATAAGGACACACCCACCCGTGTTATTGCTGATGCAAGTCCTGTTGGACTTGGCGCCGTGCTGGTGCAAGAAAAGAATGGGGAAAGCCGTGCCATCTGTTATGCTAGTCGTAGTTTGAGTCAAGTGGAGCGTCGTTATAGTCAGACAGAAAAGGAAGCACTAGCCTTAGTCTGGGCTTGTGAACGCTTCCACCTCTTCTTGTACGGGCTTCCACAGTTTGATCTGGTGACAGACCATGAAGCACTTAAAGTCATCTATTCCAGGAAGTCTAAACCTTCAGCCAGAATAGAGCGCTGGGTTCTGCGTTTACAACCGTACAACTATCAAGTTTGCTATGTGCCTTCAAGAAGGCACTGACGAAGATACCGGCGTCAGACAATTCCGCGGAAGATGATGGATATGTACGCGCGATAGCTCTACATGCTGTCCCCGCTGCATTGAGAATCAAAGAGATTGAACAAGTCTCAGCACAAGACTCTGAGTTGCAAGCACTCAGAAATTGTCTCATCGAAGGGAAATGGGACAATGCCCCAAAGCAGTATTTGCCAGTGCGCAATGAGTTGACTTTTATTGGCCATGTAATTCTCCGGGGGACAAGAATTGTTATACCCCAAGCACTTCGCAAGAGAGTCGTTAGTTTGGCACACGAGGGGCACCAAGGAGTCACAAAGACAAAGGAGAGACTTAGAACAAAAGTCTGGTGGCCTGCTATGGATCGTGATGCCGAGAAAAGATGTGCAGAGTGTTACGGGTGCCAGATGGTTACAAAGAACGTTCCACCCCCACCATTGAAGTCAACACCGTTACCCAACAAACCATGGGAAGAAGTAGCTGTGGATCTAATGGGTCCGTTACCTTCTGGAGAACACTTGTTAGTTCTCGTTGATTATTACAGCCGGTGGATAGAAGTTGATGTTATCCGAACAACTTCCAGCAAAACCATATTGCTTGGATGCCCAATTTGCAAGACATGGGTTGCCTAAAGGTCTGCGTACCGACAATGGCTCAAATCTTGTATCCAAAGAAGTAGAAGTTTACCTGAATGAAATGGGGATTGAACACCGTTACACAACACCTCTATGGCCAAGAGCTAATGGCGAGGTAGAGAGGCAAAACAGGTCGCTTCTTAAGTCCATGAGAGCAGCCCATGCAGAAGGACAGAATTGGAGAGAGGAACTAAACAGGTTTCTTTTGGCGTACAGGTCCACGCCACATTCAACCACAGGAAAGAGTCCCGCCGAGTTATTGTTTAGGAGAAAGCTAACAACTAAAATGCCTGAGCTAGTCAACGTTGAAGAGGAGGAGCTAGAAGTGAGCGACCAAGCCGTTCGTGATCGGGACAATCAGAGAAAGCAGTTTAACAAGGACTATGTGGACAAGAAGTTCCATGCCAGAGATCGAAATGTGAAAGAAGGAGACAGTGTTCTGCTTGAGAAGAAGAAAGAAAATAAGCTGTCACCTTGCTATGAGAAGGAACCATATCAGGTGATATCTCGTTATGGGGACCAGGTGGTGTTGCGATCGCCTCAAGGTGTCCAGTACAAACGCAGCCTTCAGCATATTAAGTCCTTTAATATGCCAGATCCAGAAGAACAGGAAACGCCACAACAGGACGCTAAACCACGGACTGAACCTAAGTCATTTGAGACGCCACCTGTGGCAGAGGATCAAGTACCAATGGCTGAATCACCACCAGAAGATGTACCTTCTACTGTACCTACAGCTGAGCCGCATGTGAGAAGATCCGGCAGAATTACGAGCCGTCCAAAGGCTCTGAGTGACTACGTTCTGTACTAAAACTAGTGACATTGGCATTTTCATATTACTGTTCGTTGTTATTACATGAGTGACATTGAAACGTTGTTTTATAAGCTGAACGGCCAAGGCTATGTTTATGTTTAGCGTGATTTTTGTCTTGAACATTTGGAATCGAATTGAACTTTTACGGTATCTAAACAAAGTGGAAGTTTGTTATGTTTCTGTCTTTCGAGGTCAACCATCTGAGCGAAGAAAGAGAGGGAATGTAGTATACTAGGACAGCGGTTGTTTATGTAAAAGTATACATCCGGGAAAGTGTGAGCGCGGGAAGATTATTAAAGAAACGTGTACTGTGTGTACTGTTGTTGTTCGCCTTCGTGGCTGCCTTTTGTGGCATACTTCTTCATTTTTAGACACTACAGGCAGCGATAGGCTGTGATTATATATTTTTTTTCGCAATACAAAATTTCCCCCCTTGGCCTATTGCTGCCATAGAACATTAAATTAGAGTTCATTTTGATTCAAAAGTAAATAGATTTTGTTTTGATTTTAAAAGTTTTTATTTTAAAAATTGATTTCATTTCATTTCATTTCAAAATGATTTTATTCCTCTTTTTTATGTTTATTACCAACAAATGAACAAAAAAAATGTATAAAATCCCTAAACTTAAGTAAATTTTCTAATAGCAGTTTTAGGCCAGCATACTGCTCTACTATGGTTAAAATCTTACCTGCCTGATCTTGTGCAATACGTTTCTGTTGAAGGTGGTACCTCTGTGAAACATCCCTTTAAGTTTGGAGTTCCACAAGGATCTGGTTAAGGACCCATTTTATATATTTTTTAACATGTCACCACTTTCAGGCATTGCAGGGAAATTCAATTTGAGTTATAATATTAATGCTGATGACAAACTTTATTTGTCCTTCAAGCCAACCATACCTGATAATGGGGATCTAGCTATGTCTAACATCAAGAGCCGTGTGAATGAAGTGAATCACTGAGTGCTGATGAGCAACGTTAACTTAAATGAAGACAAGACTGAGCTATTGGCATTCTCTGTTTAACATTCTCCACAACCACTTCTTCGAGATATCTCAGTTGCAGATGAAACCATTCACTCCTCGCATTATTGCTGCAATATTTGATAGTCATTTTTGTTTAATAAACATGTTGCCAATATTTGCAAATGTTTGATTTAACCATCTCCGAAACATCAAATGCGGACCACCAAAGTTGGATCATTGCAATGCTCCACTTTATGGCTACCTAACAGTACTATGAAAAGGTTACAGCGCGTCCAGAATGCCACTGCTTGTCTCATCACACTTACAAGAGATAGCAAAGAGTCAAAGCTCTCAACATTTTACTAGATAATCAAGACATACCTTGTAGATGTAGCCATGGCCATAGAGTCCTTCAGTTGATGACTCAAATGCTGAACTAATTATCTGATCTCAAGAGGACAAATTCCAAAACTGCTGATTCCAATATTTGAGATAAAAACGTTAAAGTTAAAAAAGCTACCTCAGCTTAGAAAGGAAGCCAACAAAGATTAATATAGATTTAGCTCTAAGCTTACGTATGCGCTGAATGAAGAAACATCTTTGTGTTTGGCTCGTAACTTGGACAAGTTCAAGGAATTGCTTAAGAAAGGAGATAACTTATCTTCTGCTTTTGATACTGTTTCTTATGACATTCTGCTCTCTCATTTTTTGATATAACTGGTGAACATCTACTATGGTTACAGTCTTACCTGTCTGATCTTATGCAATATGTTTCTACTGATGGTGGTACCTCTGTAAAACATCCTTTTAGACGTGGAGTTCTACAAGGATCTGTTTTAGGGCCCATTTTACATCTTCTTTACACGTCATTGCTTTCAGACATTAAAAAGAAATTGAAATTGAGTTTTCATTGCTATCACACCTCTACTTGTCCATCCAGCCAACTATACTTGATGATAGGGATCTAACTGTGTCTAACATGGAGAGCTCTGCAAAGCACTTCTTTGCGATATCTCAGTTATGAAGAAACCATTCACTCCTTGCATGAAGCGAGGAATATTGGTGTAATAGTTTGGTGTGATAGTTATTTTTTGGTGTGATAGTTATTTTTGTTTCAATGACCATGTTGCTAATATTTTCAAATCTTCGTTTATCATCAGCTAAACATCAACTAAATCATGAAAGACCTAATGCTGACCATCGCTAAACTTCTTATTCATGTATTTGGGTCTTCAAAATTAGATCACTGCAATGCTCCACTTTATGGCTTACCTCACAGGACATCCAGAATGCTGCTACTTGACTCATCACACTTACAAGAAAGCATGACCATATTACACCCATTCTTTTAATTATCGGCTTCCAGTGAATTTTGCATCATTTTAAAATTTTATTTATAACCACAAGGCACTCAACAACTTGGCACCATTGTACATACCCGATATGCTTGCACCCCACACTCCATTGGGTTAATTACATTGATCATTTAGACATCTTTTTACTCTGCGGTACAACTCAAAAAGATATGGTGCAAGATCCTTCCCTGTGGCAGCCTCAACACTGTGGAATGCTTTGCCATATGACATTAAAAATAGTTTTAGCACTGTCCACTTTTAACAAAGACTTAAAAAAACCCTTTTGTTGTCACTTTTCGACCGATTCTTTTTCTGAGTTTTTACAGAGATTTGTTGGTGTTGTAAAGTGCCTTTGAACATTAAGATACTAGTGCTACATAAAACCCTTCATTCTTATTGCACCAGAATAACCTGGATTACATAAATTGCCAGTCTTCCCTTTAGTTATTACAAGTCCCTAATCGTTTATTTTACAAAAACATGCGCAGAATTGCTATTTTAGCCGGGTTTGAGTTGTTTTCATAAAGTTTTATTGGAAATATTTGTTGACAAGAAAAGATTTGAAGCCCACCTGTTAAACATGAGCAGAAGCCTAGTAAGGTGATTTTTACGCTGACATTAAAGGATTTGAGAAATGAAAAGGACAAAGCTACTTCAGGAGCCAGATAATGACAATATTGATTTGAGGAACATCATCATTGAGGATAAAAAAGAGGAGGCAGATAATGGCAATGTAGGAGCACCAGGGAGACCAAATAACTATTACTTTAATGGTTTGAAGTGGACCGAAGCACCTCACGATGTAAAAGCACTTCCTGAGTTAAAATGCCTCTGGATTACTTTCTCCTTGTTTACAACTGCATACTAACTAAAACTGTTTGCAAAAAAACAGGTCAGCACACTTGACAAAATTTATATGTAGAAGAGCAGTGCATTCACATTGCATTCATGGAAAAATTAAAAGCAGAAAAAGTCCTAGGGTAAAGAGAAAGAAAAAAGAGGCCCAAAGAAGAAAGTAAGAGCACCACTCTTTTAAGGAAAAAAATATGTCTCCTTGCTGAAAGCAACAAAGGTTCTTGGTTTGACCAAGAACCTCTGACAAGCTCAGCATTCACTGAAGATCTGCAGCATTTGAATATCATTTGAGCAAGCAGCTTAAAAAATAAGAGCCAGCGCAGGTCGCAAACAAGATTGTTCTTCAGAATATGATGGAACCGATACAGAAAAAGAAGAAAACCACAGTAGCCGCCTTAAATACTAGAGCATTGTTGCTAATGATGAGCTTAATAGACAGCTTGTTGGTCGAGTCACTTGCAGCTTTTGTCAAAGTGAAGGGGTAAAATTCGAAGAAGTTGCAAAATCTGGACTGGGAGCAGAATGAATTTGTCATTGCAGAAATCCTAAGTGCTCCTCACATGAGCTGGTGTCACCATTTCACACAACGCCAAAGACCAACAAGTTTACCCATGTAAACAGGGAACTGGCCACTCAGCTGCTAAAAGAGTCCCAAGTGTTCTGAGCCTACCTTCGCTAGAAGAAGGGCACTGAATGTGATTCACGTAACTATCATCCCATTTCAGTGTTACCAATTTTGTCGAAAGTCATTGGGTGCCATATGCACAATACGTTATACACTTTTCTCTCCAATAATAACTTGATTTTTCAAGGCAGTCCGGTTTTTGCAAAAGCCGCAGTACTGAAACTGCCCTCATCAAGATAACTGATGACCTCCTATTTAATTTGGACAAGGACATGGTCTGAGGAGTGGTGCTTATTGACTACTGCAAGGCATTTGACATGGTTGATCATGAGCCATTACTCAAGAAACTGGGGGTATATGGCTTCGTGAATATGGAGCTTAAATG